CGGCTGTGAGTCAGGGAGTCAGGTCTGAGCGGCTGTGAGTCAGGGAGTCAGGTCTGAACAGCTGTGAGTCAGGGAGTCAGGTCTGAGCGGCTGTGAGTCAGGGAGTCAGGTCTGGGCGGCTGTGAGTCAGGGAGTCAGGTCTGAGCGGCTGTGAGTCGGTTAGTCAGTCGTGTCCCGCCAGCCCTACAGTGAGGTTCTAACCTGAACTTACCTCGCTCCGTTGCTAAGTTAGCAATCTTGTGCTCCAACGCTAGTTCTTGTGTAACTGTGCTCCATATGCTCCATCAAGCAGTATAATGTCTATCGTGCTTGTTCTGTTATTTTTCAAACGTATCCCTTTCAAGTGCTTTGCTGAAATAAAACTGTGTTTTATCCGTGTTAACCGAAGTTTTAATGGAAGACATCCTATTGCAATAAAGTGAAATTCAACTCATAACAGAGTCCTTGAACTTTTTACAAGATAGTTGCCGGCGTTTGGCCGTAAGAGCTCTGATCATCCTGACAAGTATAAAGGTTGTGGCAGGCGTCCGGTGACATAATTCGCTTGTATTGAGAATAATTATTATTTGTTGTGGTACAGGTGGGAGCATCACAACCTGCCTCAGCAGCGAGCTTCTTCCAGCCCCCCAGCAGCCAGCAATACTTCACCCCAGCCATGAGCCACTCTGTGGCACACTCCTTCCCTGCCGGTGGGCTACTTTAGTGCGATGGCCCTGGGTGTGGTGTGTGGGATGTGGTATTGAGTGGGGTGTGTGGTATGTGTGGGGTGTATGGCAAGTGTGGGGTGTGTGGTATGTGTTGGGTGTATGGCAAGTGTGGGGTGTGTGTGGTATGTGTGGTATATCTGGGGTGTATGGGGTGTGGTATGTATGGGATGGGGCAGGGGTGAAGTGTGGGCTTGTATGGAATATGTGTTGTGTAGCGTGTTGCATGCGTAAAATTTTTCTTACAGAGATCATTAAATGAAGGTAAAATGATATAACTCCAAACTCTTTCATCATGCATCGATGCATTTACCGTCGTCAATGCTATTCGTACCTAGTGGCTTGGGACCGAGAAGTCTCGTTAGTTATGTATAGATTAAGTAGTTTGTTCGTACAATTGTAAGGGTTAAGTAGTTAAGTTTCTAATTGTGGGCGTTAAGTACTTAAGTTCCTAATTGTAAGGGTTGAGTAGTTAATATAAAGGTTAAGTAGTTAATGTAAGGGTTAAGTAGTTAATGTAAGGGTTAAATAGTTAATGTAAGGTTAAGTAGCTAAGTCCTAATTGTAAGGGTTAAGTAGTTAATGTAAGGGTTAAGTAGTTTGTTCGTACAATTGCTGCACCCTTCAGACATGTGAGCAAACTCTGTAATGTTTTATATAATATAAAAATTTAATATAAAAGTTGACTTTGTTATTAGATTTTATATTATTATATTTTATTATTATTTTTATCGTAAACATGCTGTTTCCCTATAAATATCAATGGAAGCAGGAAGCTATAATATATATACAGTTATGGTTTATCAAGCGTTATTTCTCATTCTTCATGTAATATAGTAAATTTACTTTGTATAGTATATTTGTTGAATATTATAATATAAACTCTTGAATATATAGAAGCTTGTGAAAGGAATATCGTAACTTTATTCATCATGATGGAATGACTGAAGAGTAAACATAATTTCAAATAAAGAAAGAAGTTATCACTTGAAGTAAAAAATTTAAAGAATAATGTGAAGAATTTTAAGAATAAAGTAGAGTAACGAATCTTGAATATTTATCCACCATTTTTTGCATGTTATACTCTTGTAATGTTCATTAGCGCGTCGTTAAATTAATTATTGTTATATTGCAGGAGGTGTGGGGGCCATGTCCCCCCTCCCCACCATCCCCGGTATGCCCGTCACCACCCCCATCTCCCTCCCCGGCCTCCCCCCCATCACAGGTAAGGGGGTGGATATTAAATATTATATAAAAAATATTATCTATTATATAATATTATATATTATATATAAATATATACAATTTATTCATCTTAAATATTATATCACTTAAGAATGTACATAAGTTGAAATTATATAGCTCTTATATAATAATATTAAAGATTATATACTTAATTTTATGTATATAGGTATGATTTAAGAACTTAATAGCTTAAAATTGTTAAACTCGTATCTATTCATTGATTCATGTAATGTTTTATATATTTGGATAGCTTTTAGTTTTCGAGTGTTACGGAATAATTGAATGAAAATAATGATGAAATTAATCAGGGAATAAAATTTCAGTGAGCGCCAGCCTGCCTCCCTCCGCCCTGCAAGCCATCCAGCAGCCAGTCAGCCTGCCCAGCAGCCAGCCTCAGCCAGTTCAGTGATGACGTCAGCCAGTCCAGTGATGACGTCACCTCAGCCAGTGATGACGTCACATCTCAGCCAGTGATGACGCCACACTTCAGCCAGTGATGACGTCACACCTCAGCCAGTGATGACGTCACACTTCAGCCAGTGATGACGTCACACTTCAGCCAGTGATGACGTCACACCTCAGCCAGTGATGACGTCACATCTCAGCCAGTGATGACGTCACACTTCAGCCAGTGATGACGTCACACCTCAGCCAGTGATGACGTCACACCTCAGCCAGTGATGACGTCACACCTCAGCCAATGATGACGTCACTATCTCCAAGTGATGACGTCAGCAGTAACGAATTATGACGTCATCAACAAGTCGTGACGTCATCAGCACTCCACAAACGGGATAAAGGTTATCACTTGTATAGTGCTAAGGTATAGCGGGGGGTACATTAGAAGGAGAACTGCAATATAATTAAAGTGATCATCACTGTGAGCTGCACTGATGAGATAATCTTAACTCTACTGCACTTGAGAATTAATCCTGACTTATAACTTTTACTGTAAACGATCTGGCAGTAAATGTCTGAACGTGGCTCGTAATAAATGTGCTATTCCTGTTAGTACTGGCAAAGAAAAGGGTTTGGAAATAGTAACTAAATTATTTATTTCTAGGATATTTGTACCAGCCTTGTAAAATGTATTCGATGGTAACGAATTAATGTAGAAAATGTCCGGGAATGCGTGGAAAATTCCAACGGCAATCAAACCTCGCAAAATTAAACCTAAAAATTGCATTAAATATTGAATGTATGACCACCGTTAACTATTTGAAATCATCTCGAGAATAAGAAACGGTAATTTCTCAGATCATCTTGTAGTGCAGCGGTTTGACAACAAGTTTTGAACCAATGTAGACAACATGAATTTCAACATGCTAGCATATGTTAACAATGCAGTTCTCACCTTGTGTTGAACACATCTTGTCAACATGAACTTAGTTAGAAGACATGTTGTAGTCGCAGTCATCGTCTAAATTACTCAAGCTGTAAAAAATAAGACCACTTATCATCAACACATGTTGTACACGCATTTGTCGTCAAAATAAAAGTTGTAAAAAATAAGACCACTTATCGTCAAAATTAAAGTTGTAAAAAATAAGAGCGTCGCTGGAAATTCTACTCTCTGCTGCCAATAGTTTGGTTGCTGCGCTGTAACATCGTCTATTAATCTTGTCTTGAAGACCTGAATAACCTATATAATGCATTAAAATATATTTGCGTAAAACTCTTGTATATATACCTATATCATTGTCTTTGCTACCTTTACTATCTTATTTTCTCTTTATTTCACATAAGCCTTTATTCGGTTTTCCTGAAATTCATTATTTATGATTTTTTATCTGTTCTCAACTTGAGATTTAGTGTGAAAATACAACATTTGATTTTTGTTTACTAGATTCTATGTACTACTTTCAAAGATAATTATTCATTTATAGAACTTGTCTCGTATTCTTTATGGCAAAAGTCGTGAATTTTCTTTATATGTCTCTACCATTCCTTATATTAGGAAATATTGCTGTTTCTGCTCTGGAAGCTATTATTGGAATTGTATATCTTCAGGGAAATGCCCGCATATTTTAAGTATGTTAATTATTCTTATCAAGTTTTTCGCACCAGCTCCCTGTTATCGCTGTCATATTTTAGATTTGCTTTAAAGATAGGCAGTTAAATTTTCTTTATTAGTCAGCAATGTAGATCTCAAATATTATCTGGGTTGAAACGACTTCAATAGTAATATTGTGATAGAAGGTGATAAAATTTTGGATAAAACGTGTTTTTAATGCCGTACACAATATCATTTGAATCTTTTAAATATGTGTCAATCGTGGACATGATATCATTTAACATAGTTTGATTCAAATACAGTTGCAGCCTCAGTTGATTTTTACAATTTTAAATATTAAATTATATCCTTTAAAGATGCAGGAGTATAAAGCTGTTCAATCTTGCGGGCGCAATGTAAAGACTCAAATGTTGCCAGCTTTTGTTGTGTAAATAAATACTTCTGGCGAATGAACTTAGCTTGTCGACTTTGATGCTTTAAACTAAAATTTTATATCAATTACTATTTTTTGAATTATCCATTTATGTTTTCGAAAATAATTCGTGGAGATAACTCTGTTTTTTAGATAACTATCATCGGCACACTTTTTGTTATTGATTGTGCCACCAATGTACAGCCTTAAAAAGTTTGTTGCTTTTTCCATCAGTTCAGTTGGCTTACGGCTGTATAACAGATAAAGGTTTAGCTAGGCAAAGAATTTAAAACTAAAAATTTTTCAATTTAGGTTCTTTATTTTCGGTTGCAAAATTTGAAGTCAACTCATCGTGCAATTTTTTTATGAACTTTCGTAGTCTGAAAATAATTTGCCAGCGTGTTGGTGTAGGCAAATTCATTCGCTGAACTTTAATGGTAAAAATTAATTACGGGATGTACTAAGGGTTCATATTCACGTTGCCTGTACGATATAATTGACAACATTTTTTCTCATTAAAATGCCGGACCAGATCTTGTATTTGTCAGTCATTTCATGGTATGGATTTGATAATCTAAAGGTATTAAAGATATTAAAATTTTCAAAATTCTGAAAAAGTTTCGCTTTGATTGTCACCACTTTTCGCGTTGTTGGTGGAAAATAGATACTTAGTTCATTGTTCCTGAGCGCCCCACTGCAGACAGAGCTGGAGGTGCTTTACTGCTGATCTCAGTGGGGGGACTAAGTTATTATGAAGGCGGGACTCAGCATTTCTCGGCCTCTCTCGTGCGGGCGGCCGACTTCTCGTGTAGGCGACCTCTTGTACCAACGTCTTTGTTACCGTTACTTTTCATGTCACTTCGTCTCTTTGAGATGCTAACGCTGCTTATTTCTTGACAGTGCCAGCCATCCCATGAAAAATTTTTAATAATCGAGACCTTCAGCCCTGCTGGCATTTTTATATTCGACTTGAGGCGCAAAGTAGCTTGATTGCTGAAGCGATAGCAATTCATTTACCGCTGTTATTACATATGTAACAGCTGCTTAATGGTACTTTATATGATATACACTAAATTACATCTCACTAGCGCTATTTCTTTTATTACCGGTACAGATAGGCCTTCTCATGTATCAGTGTTTCATGTACAATAGATTCCTCTTACTTCGTTAATAAAGACACTTCTAAATTCAAGTGTTGCATTAAAGTGCTCGAAATAACACTGCTCTGCCACGTATTTGCCACGTTTATTTTAAAGTTGAATTTTCAGTTTGACGGTCCCGGTGTTAAGGGCTGAATGTAGGTACATTGAAACTTAACACGTCTTCTCTCGCGCATTATTTTTCCTGCCTTAATATCACATTCCAAAACGCACATTTTTTTGCACGAGCTTACTCAACTAACATGATTGATGGCAGCAGTTACCATATTCTAATAAGAAACCGAAAATTTCGTGTTGATCGACACTAATACGTATTCTTAGCATAGTTGCAACATTAACAGTTAGCTTGGCAACAACATCGTTGAGGTCTTGCCAAAACTGGCAGTTAATTTCGCGTTGCTTCAGTAAGAACTTACGTGGAGCTTGTAACGTACAATATTGATTAGGGTAATTAAACATAGTTTTTTTTACTCCTCGAATTTTTTACTCGCGAATTTCTTTTACTCCTCGAAATTCCAGTTTCAGATCTGTAAAAAAAACGAATTTAAGTTAGGACATTGACACGGAAAATAGAATGTATACCCGTTTGATTCAATCATTGACTTTATGATGAGATTACAAAATCGGTAAAATTTGAATACCATACGATAAAAAATTGCAATTTAGTAAAAATTAAGGCGAAATATGTGGAACAATAAACATGGATCGTACGATTTTGCACATAAGATATCGACATTTATGTTAAAAAAAAAAACTAATAAGCGCCACGAAGACTTGATGGCTAGAATAGCGCCAACTACGTATATAAAATATTGCAGCAAACAGCAATGTGACCATTTGGTCAGGCTAATACACATCTATTTCAAAACTGCAACACTAATAAAAGTCGCCCCTTGAAAAGAAACACTTTGACATGCAAGTCTCAATTCTACGTACTATCACTATTGGCTCCTTGAATGAAGTCTTTGTAGCGTCTCGCAGATATCGACGATCAGCTAGACTATAGCATTTGGATTAATCTATAGATATTCTGTAATGTAATAAAGGATAATTCGACAGATATTCTGTAAATGAATATAGGATAATTCTACAGATATTCTGCAAATAAAAGCAAATTACCTCACTCGTGCTGCGAAGTTTTCCTAACATTTGTCCATTTCTTGGATTTCTCGACAATTTTGGCAATGGAAGGAAGCTTGGGCGGCCGCATCGCCACCTCCCCGAACTGGACCTCTTCGAATCCCTTCAAGTCCTGAGCGAAGTCTTCCTCCTCCGCGTCAAGTAAAGTCTTCTTCTTCTTTTTAGAGTGAATAATCTGGCGGGATAGGAGTTATATTATATGATGTTTACATTTCAGAAAAGAGCTTCTTCATGAGATTGAAAATTAAAGGAGGATATTATATACAAACAACTAAACTGTACTTGTATTCTAACATTTTAAAGTGATGATAAAGCTAATATTAAAAATTTGTAATTAATATGGCAAATAATCTTTGTTTTGGGTAGGCTATTGAATTCTTGAGTGATGTGAAATTAAAGTGATCATATGATCCTGCAAATTGTACTTTTGAGTACAACTGTACCTTTCTGACTTGTTTTTTCTCGGAACGCTCTTGTTTTCGCCACTGCTTGTTAAGTTGTAACAAGTCTTTCACGTTGACAGGTTTTCGTGACTGCAAAGCTTTTTTTTTCTGCACTTTTTCTTTCTTTGCACTTATCTTCTCTTGCAGGTCCTCTGCCTTCTTTATTCTTTCATTTTCTTCCTGATAAAGCAGACAGAAAAATGTGATATCAACTTCATGATAATAATAAATAAAATAGAAATTATATTATTGTGCAATATTCAGGGATGAAAGTAATCTCTAAATGCCATTATGAAGTCATGTGGCTGTTCAGTAATCAATATTTAGGGATTAATAATATAATATATAATAAATTATATAAATTATATAATAGATTATGAAAATGTTCAACAAACTGACCATAGCAGTTCTTTGAAGATGCCGGAGGTGACTCCGCAGTGCAACATCGTTGACAAAACATTTTCGGTCTTCTTTTGTGAAGATCTTGAATTCATTGAGCTTTGGCCTGAAATTGTGATAAATTTATTAAAGCATCACCACAAAAGGACTCGCCAAATTATTCCCACTGATATATAGAAAAATATCCTTTGGAGAGAACAAGCCTATTTACTTTTTTTAAAAACCCAACAGAATAAAATTCTAGCAAAACCAAGTTCTTTAGAAATCAAGTAGATCAAAATTTTGAAGGGAACATTGCAATACAATTACCAGCAATATGGTAAAAGAAAATATATAAGAAAAAAGTATGATGATATTTGTAACATTGAGTGATGAAGAAATTACCTTGAAGTATCAATTAGAAGCATTGCTAAGCATAAGATAAATGTGAGAACTATAATTTGATAACATATACGGTAGTACATAAATTTCATTTATTCCTGTAAAAAATTAGGTATATAAGAGAGAGTAGATGAGATACATGGGAAACTCACTTTTTTGGTACTCTCTGCGTTTGAGTGAAGTGCATGATCCGCAGTAAGGACTTGGGAATATTCTGATCAGAAATTTTTGGAGCATTGCCGGCATTACCACTTCTGGAAAGAATAAGAGCATTAGTTACCTTTTGTCATTGAAGCAGATGAATGGACTTTAAATTTAGCTGGCCAGTTGTTAAAATTACAAGAATTTGGTCATTAATCCAATAAAAATTTCTTTGAATTTTGACAACTTGGGTCCTACTATTAATAATGGAAATTATGTATAAACTGAATTTTTTTTCTTTATAACATTTGGAGATATTTACTGGGCACTTTGTTTCATTGAAATTTGTAACAAACTTCGAGGCTTCTACTATTGTCAATGCTCAAAAATTGTCAGGCTTCTATTGCTATTTTTTTACTCTGATGGTAAATTAAAAAAAAAACATATGTTGAATTAACAAGGTAAATTAATACAAAATTGAAATATTTGTCAAACATGAAATTTAGGTAGAGCTAACATAATATAGTTATAAAAAATATTGGTTGGATATATTGGAAAATATTGGATACAGCTCAAGTTGATTTCTTTAGCAATGATGCTAAAAATTCTGTCAGATCTTATAGATTGAGTCATGACTAAGTTGCTCAATTTCAAATTCATCTAAAAAATGCTGTGCAGCCTGGAGCAATCTGTCAAAAAAATATCAGGTAAAGTTCTTTTAAAAATTACAGGTAATAAAATCAATCTGGAGCACCAGGCTAGAGTTTCTAAAACTCAAAGGAATCAAGGAAAAGATTTTTCCACAGGCAATTTTGGAAAATTGAGGGTAAAAACATGTAATTTTTCTTGAATTTTACTGGAAAAAATGGCTAAGGGAAATTTTGAAAAATTAGACACAAAATGAGATGAAAACCCCATGCTTACTAAAGGAAATTAGGCAGAAGCGACCTCCAGATAAAAATGACTTTAAATCTGGCTCATTTTACTTGTTCCAATGACCTTTTTCAAAAATTTTCAGTGAAATATAGGAAAAACGGCCTAATTTTTCCTACAATTTTTAAAAAATCATCTGTGAAATGATTGTCATTACCCTTAATTTTAGGATACTTCTGCCTGATATTCTAAATTGGTTTTTGCTCCCAATTTTAGGAAACTACTGCCAAAATTTCCAAATTGGCATGCTTACAGCAAGCAGGGAAAACATCAACCTTTAGGAGCCACGACTAGAACTTTCCCTCAATTTCCGGAACTGCAAGATTTCCACCAGATTAATTATCTCTGACCTAATTGTTGACAAATGTGCACGATAGGGCCACAAGATTCCAATTGCATTAAAAATTTGTCACGTTGGAGCCACAAAATTTCAGAAACAGGTAGAAAAATTCCAATCCTGGCTTACAGTACAGGAAGTCTAACCTGTTTTCTAGATTGGAATTTTTAGGAATTGGAGTGCTATTTTATTGATCATTAGATAGCAGATAATTTATCAAGCAGAAATCTCACGTCTCTAAAAGTAAAGGGAAAGCTCTAATTGTGGTTTGAAAGGCAGATATATTCTACACCAGCTGTTGAATATTGGGCAATAACAGTCAGTCAGGCATAGTACCTATGACTTTCATAATGGCCCTTCCCCAATTTTTTTTTTACATAAGACAAATGACAAATTTTAACCTGCACTTTTAGGAAATTAACAATAAAACAATAGTTTTTCCCAGCATTTTTTATGAAATTCTGAGTTATTCTGGACAGATAGGGTAAACGCGGTATATTCCGTCACATTAAGGACGCATCGAGAAATGAAAAACTATAAAAAATAACCGTATGCATTACTCAAGTTTTGTTTGCTTGATGTGACTCTCAAAACACCGCACTACGTGTCAGCAACGACGAAACATCACAAAATGTTGCCATATTTATTTAAAAGCCTTTAGAATGCAAACATACCAAATCCCTATATTCCGTCACTGTGTGTGGCTATATTTGGCACGTGGTGAGGCATATTCCATCCGCGCTTCAATTTCTACTGATACGCAATGCTGTCATCCACATGTTCGAATTCCGTTCGCTGTGTGAGCTGTATTGGAATACAACACGGCTTTGAATTAGAACAAGAACACTAATGAATATTGAACACTACTTAATTACGCTTTTAATTAACAACTATTAAGCTTTTAATTAAGCAAATTTTAATTTTTGTACACAGCATGGAACGATCTGTGTGTCCAATTCAAGTTGTGATGGAATTAGTTTTCATGTGTCTAAATCCATTTCTGAACTTAATCATCTATTAATTTATTTACCACTTGAAATCAGCAAATACAAGTATACTTAAAGGACTCCTAATATATTCACAGACGTATTTAAAAGTCTCAAACCATAATATTCTTCCTATACAAACAGTTATTCACTATTTGGTAGAGCAAGGTC